AATCTTCCTTAAGAGTAGCCATTATCACCCTAGTTTGCAATATGAACCACATCTAAACAGCACAGTGGCATGGACCCTCAATTCTGGAGCCAGACTGCCTGGATCTGTTCAAATTGAGGCTCCGCCTCAATTTCCTTCTTGTAAAAGTGAAAATAATTATGGTACCAAGCTCAGACGGTGTTATGAGGATTGACTTACTTATGTACATTGCTTTTTGAATAGTGCTTCTTACAGAGTTAGCCCTCCATGTTACCTGTTTTAACTGTTAAAATTAGAAAATATTTTATAATAAAAATAAACTTCTCAGCTATTTCTTACCTAGTTTAGTCCTATATTATAATTCAAAGAGAAAAACCTAGATGAGAACATTACTTTCTGGTATTCAAGTAACTTAGAAATGATAAGCTCCACGAACATCCAATTGGGAGAGGCAAAAGCCAAGGCTGTGTGTGAAGTTTACGTGCACTCCAAGACAAATTTACTGTAAGTTACCTGAACGATAGCTGGATCTTGAGGCAAAGAACACTGCGGTTTCGGTGGCTCACAAACAGTGAGGTCTTTAATATCACTCCCTCGGAAAATAATGTATTCAAAGACTTCATCTCGAGGTGGTATTGGACGATCTGTTGGTCTGTCTTCTGTACCAAAGGATCGAACTGGTAAGAAAATAGAGGATACGAGATGTATGACTACTCATCATATTCAAGTAGTGCCTCAGATTCTAATTGTTCTATTCCAAGTACTAGGCAACAATTCTGAGGTGTCATCTGTGTGAAGGTATTCATTAACCTACAGCTAAATAAAACTTTTTTTAAAAAAGAAGAAAATAGAGTGGGTGTTGCCTAAAGCTAAATGTACGCAATGTAAAATACAATCAGTATTAAGAGGTCGCGTTCTTTCTACATTTGTATTTATTTATATCTTCGGTGGTTGTGGTGAGGTGTTAAAATATCCTTTCTTTCATTGTCGATCTATTTAACATCCTTGTTCAGCAAAATAAAAATTTGGCAACCTATGTCATATTTCTTGGTGGTCGTGGGGGTGACAAAGATTTTTCCAGTCCACAAAAATCCCAAAGTTTGGGAATTGAGCTTTGGGACAAAGAGAAGACAATGAAGTAACATTTACCTTGATGAGCAGTAAGACCTCCAGAAGCCAAGCTGAGCAGCTGTCAGCTATTCAGCCCCATGGGACAGCGTGAAATGCCCTAGTTACCTAAAATATCTACTGTATAATTAAATCTGATTATTTTAACACTGAAGACATAGCATTATTCAAAGTTAAACCATGGACCACCTGCAACATAGTGAATTGGCTACAAATGAAGACTTCCAGTGAATTAGGCCTTCTGGGGATAGGGTCCGGAAATCTGCATTTTAAATCGATTCCCTCAGTTTCTTATGAATATTAAAATTTCAGGTTCACTAAAACTTAGGAGGACTTCTGAAAATGTCAACATCCATTATAGAAGTTTCAAATAAGAAATTTTGAGAGATCACACACTATTCATTTAGAGAGTGTCCTAGAGGAAGTAAACCCTTTAACACTGTGCAAAATTTTTAACACATATATTTTTTTTTGCAAAACTGATCCAGAGCTATTTTGAGGAGGAATGTTATTTCAGTTTAAATAATGTCCTATTTTCTTATTCTAAAAATTCTTTCTTATACTATGAGACTTCCAGGAAAAGATGGTGGTGTAGGTAGGTTTGCAGAAGAGCGTCCCTCCCTAAAAACTAAAGGAAACAAAAGGAAGTTAAAATATCTTTAAGTCAAGAAAAGATCTCAAACTCGTACCATAAACTTTTATTAAAAAGTATCATCAGACATAGAATGAGTTAGTCCAAATTGGAAGACCAAGCCCAGAATCCGTATGTAGCATCCCCTGCCTTTTCCCTCCAGCCATAGAAAATTTGACTGGCACCTAGCAGCTTGGTAGATGGGGACACTGGTGTGATAAGGGAAAAGATATAGAAAGCCCTAGAGCTCCCCTTCTCCTGATGGCCAAGCAGTATTTTAGCAGGCAGGATTTTATACTTTTGACCTTTATACAAAAGGAAATCTAAAGAAGAGAAAGGACTAAGAAAATTACTAATCAATCAATCTTACCCCCCAGCCTCAGCACCACCACAACAAATAAAGTCCCACATCTCCAAAGTAGCAGATTAGCTGATCCTGAAGCAAAGGAAGAAAAAAAGTCAAAGGCCCTCTTTCCACAAGATCACAGAGAAGTTCTATTAGGTTTTCCAAGGGCTAACAAAACCATTCAAACTATAGCCAGGTGAATTCAGGATGAATTACAAGAGAATCTACATTCCATATTTAGGTAGACAACAGGTACTGGAAAGGTACAAGATAAGGAAAAAAGAGTAGAGAGCATGGAAACAAGAAAAATTTTACAGAAAAAACAGAAGGGAAGAAAAGAGAAAGGAGAGATGGAAGCAATGAAGGAAAGAAGGAAAAAAGGCAGGAAAGAAGAATGAGAAAGAGGACTCAGATTTTAAAAGGTACATGAAATACATTCAGGATTAATATTTATCACAAGAAAACAGAAGGAAATTTCTGAAAGAATTGCTTCATCATTCTCAAGAAAAATATACAAAACATAGACTCTCAAGATGAAAATGACACTGAAAAGGTACCATGCAGAATTAAGCAAAGAAAATTATATAATACAAATGTAACAGCACAATTAATAAATGCATCAATAATAGAACAGTCAGTGCAATTAAACCAAGTCACTAATACAGAACAATTTTGGAAAAAGCAAACAAGATATAAAGAAAAAGCAGCACAGCAATAAAAAGGTTAGAAGATGAGTTATAAAGATCCAACAGTTAGTTAACTGTTCCCCTGAGGTAGACAACAAAATAAATAAGAGAAAATATAAGTAAGGATACAATAGAATAGAAATTTCCTGACATGAAGACCTAAATTTGATCAAAACCTTTCACCAAATTTCCAGAAAAACACTGAGTGCACTATAAGCCAGAGACTTAAGCTTGGCTATATCAAAATAAAGAACTAATGGAAACAGTGGTATCAAAAGATAAGAGACGAGCAACAAATTCATTTAAGCATGTACGTGCACATGACGATTTATTATGGTTCCAGAACAGCATGTAAATTTAATAGTTCTGGAAAGGGCCGCAATGTTATGAAGTGTGACTAATAAAAACAGTACGGCACGTACCATCCTAACAAAAACTGGGAGACGGCCGGGCGCGGTGGCTCACGCCTGTAATCCTAGCACTCTGGGAGGCCGAGGCGGGTGGATCGCTCAAGGTCGGGAGTTCGAGACCA